GAAGAAACGAAGTGAAGAGGACCAACCTCTCACACAACTAGCCCAACGCTATTTACATTTTAGTTTTACAAGCAATGTCTTAGTTTAGATCCAGTATCCTCAAACAGTTTTCTTAATTTAGTCTTTAGCTTTACGCTACCATTAGTTTCAACTCTGATTTTGTTATTTCGTTGTGAACATCTTAACTCAATATATTTAGTTTTCTGCAATTCAATTTACTACACGTTACCCCAAAATGCATCTTTCTAGCTTCTTTTAAGTTTAGTTTTATGTTTCAGCTTCTATTTCATTTTCTACGTTTTCATACTTTTGCGGCGGCATCATGCTTTCTCTTTGCAATTTAGTTTTCCTACCATGCACTCTCTTTCTTTTCCTTTCCTTTATTTTCCTCTTTTATTTTGATCAACAAACTAACATTTTGGCTCTAGTTGTGGGAAGTCCTTAATGTTCTTTCAGGGCAATTATTTATGGATCTTTATACAGAAATGCACTCCTGTTTCTGCAACAATCGTCTGATCAGGGCACATCTCATAATTTATTTAACCGGTGCTCTTCCATCGACTTGTAGCCAAGTTCCATGCTTGGAAGTAGTGAGGGTTACCGAGAATCCCTCTTTCTCATTTTGAGCAAAGTGAGTGGCACGTCTTCGCAGTCGTATTTATCACGTGGCTCGAAAGAGAGATTTTGGAGACAACAGATTTATTTCAATTATAATTTTAAAAAATCATTTATTTTTATATTTTTTAAAAAATTATTATAAAATAATATATTTAATATACTTTAATTTATACTTTAAAGATACATGATAAATAAATCTTAATACAATTTCCTTCTCACGATAACGTCGTAGTTGTGTTTTTTATTTTATCTTATAAAATAATATATTTAATGTGTTTTAATTTATACTTTAAAGTTACATGATAAATAAATCTTAATACAATTTCCTTCTCACGATAACGTCGTAGTTGTGTTTTTTATTTTATCTATATATTAAGGATTTTAGTATAATTTTTGTTTTTAGTTAAAACAATTTATAATAAAATAAATATTTATAATTGAAAATAAAATAAAAATTAATTTAAAAAATAAAAAAAATTATAGGATGAATATATATTAAAATATTATTAATAAAATTATTTTTTTTATTTTTTATTTAAAATATTTTAATAGATTTATAAAATAAACTATATTTTTAATGTTATAATTTAACCTGTATTACTATTACATGAATCTCTTAAAAAATATTTATTTCTATTATAACATTAAAAAATATGAATTAATTTGATAGGAATTTTAAATTAAAAAATAACTAATATTGCACTTGGGTCTTTAGCTCCAGTGACATCAAGTCACGTTTAACTGTATCTCCTTCCACCCAACAACGATTCCAATTCAATCCCTTATAAAATTGTTAAAAAAAAAAAAGACTAATATTATTATTATTATGAAAGGAAGAGAAGGAGTAGTATCAAATACAGAGTATCAAAAATTAACTTCATAAAAAAGATAATACTAAAAATTGAAAAGAAAAGGAAAGAAATTGTTGAAAAGTTACGGCTGTTTAAACTTGTTTTTTTTTTGTATTTTTGGTATTAATCTCTCGATATTCGATAATCAGATTCGGTTTCGATTAATTCAAAATTGAGCCGTGTCGGACCCCATTAAGAGATAAGCTCTCCCAATACGTGTTTCTCCATTCACAAAACTCGAATTCTAAATTTTGCTTAAGAAAAATCAAACTCCTCTCATTCAGACCAACAGATCGTTAGTGGTCGTTTAAACTTATTGTTTTTTGATATTTTTTATTTATTTTGGTTGTTAAAATTTGAATGGTCCATATTCACATGTGAAAGTCAAAAATAAAAATTATAATCAATAACTTCTTGAGTATAAAGTTCTCAAAATTAATGACTAAAATTTAAATTTTATAAATTTCGTTTATTAGTGTTATGCTATGATTTATTGTAACTGTATAATTATTTTATTATCTTAAAAATATATAAAAAATTAATTAAAATTAATTAAGAATTATAAATTTATATTTTTTAATGAAACGTTGTGTGAAACATTTGTCAAGTGAAACTTTAATTTTTTAAAGCTTTATTTTAGCTTAAAATTATTGATTTTTTGAAAACCAATTAAAAAAGTTATAAACAACAATTTTAATAAATTGATTTATAGATTTGTATATATGATATGTCTCAATGAGTAAGAATTTAATACTTTAAATTAAAGAAATCATATTCAAACTTAAAAAAAGAATGGGTAGAAATTTAGAAAATGGGAGAGTTGTCTTTTTGAATATGTTACAAAAAAATAAGCTAGGATATATGAATTAGACATTGTTTCCTTATGTTTGGATGATTTTGTACAAGAGATTACTAGGAGTTTGGGGGCTAATTCATTTCTTTCATCCTTGCTAATGAGTTGGAGAGGGATTGAGTTGGTTTGCAAAATTATTAGTTGCCTTATCTGTTTCTGTTTCATTTTATATTTAGGGATAGATTTTTCCTGTGGGGAGGATGATCTACCAAGGAGGGACCATGGGTAGATTAATGGTGCTGGAAGAGAGGGGTGTTGATGGCTTTGGAGGAGGTGGGGGATTTGT